TCTCATACTGGTCACTGGAAGTTCAGCATGGCACCTCATGGCAAAGAACTCTCTGAGGATCTGAAAAAAAGAATTGTTGATCTTCATAAAGATGGCCAAGGCTATAAGAAGATTGCCAAGACCCTGAAACTGAGCTGCAGCACGGTGGCCAAGACCATACAGCGGTGTAACAGGACAGGTTCCACTCAGAACAGTCCTCGCGGTGTCATTTCTTCAGTGTTGTCACATGAAAAGATAGAATCAAATATTGACAAAAAATAAAAATAAAAAAAAATATATATATAGTATACAGTCTGGGGGAGGGGTGAACTTACTTCTTGGAGATATATGTATATATATATATATATATATATATATATATATATATACACATTGTATACAGTCCAGGGGAAGGGGTAGGACTCACTGTGTGGGAGATGCTATATATATTGTATACAGTATATACTAACTTCTGGGAGATGCTGTATATATATATATATATATATACACACATTGTATACAGTCTGGGGGAGGGGTGGACTCACTTCTGGGTGATACTCTATATATACAGTATATATATATATATATATATATATATATATATACACACATTGTATACAGTCCCGGGGAGGGGTGTACTGTATATAGATATATATATATATATATATTGTATACAGTCCGGGGGAGGGGTGGACTCAGTTCTGGGTGACACTCTATATATATATATATATATATACATACATTGTATAGAGTCCAGAGGACGGGTGGACTCACTTCTGGGAGATGCTGTATATATATATATAAAACATTGTATACAGTCTGGGGGAGGGGTGGACTCACTTCTGGGTGGTACTGTATATATATATATACACATTGTATACAGTCCCGGGGAGGGGTGTACTGTACTGTATATATATATATATACATTGTATACAGTCCGGGGGAGGGGTGGGGGAGGGGTGGACTCACGGGGGGGTACTGAGATAATATATATACATATACACACACATTGTATACAGTCCCGGGGAGGGGTGTACTGTACTGGATATATATACACATTGTATACAGTCCGGGGGGAGGGGTGCACTGTACTGTATAAACATATATTGTATACAGTCCGGGGGAGGGGTGGACTCACTTCTGGGAGGTGCTGTATATATGAATGAATATATATATATATATATACATATACACACACACTATCTGAAACATCATCACACAGACTCTACATTTCCCTGACAATTTCTTTCTCAGATCTGGCAGATGTCCTCCAGTCACCCAGCATTTTAGGTGTCACCGGAGAATTGTAGTGGGACGTTATCTCCACTTTGCATACACTGTCTGCCTCCTATCTATGTCCTGCTGTATTGACTGGTGAACTCCTTCAGTTCCGCACAGATGCTATCTCTCGATGATAAATTGGAGCGAGCTACTCCTATAATTGATCTCGAATCTCCGCGCCCTCGGCAACCTTTCACTGTGGCATTTTGAAGGTCTGTATCTCGCTGAAAAATGAAATGCAGATGAAAACATCGGCGGCTTTTCACTGCGGCGTATCAGCCGCGCAATCGGCTCCATCAATCCCGCCGATGCTTCTAATTTGTAACCAAGTTACCAATAAATAGCGGCGATGACGACTGCATTGTAGCTCCTGACTGACAGATTAAATCATTCCCTTTCCGGGCAATTAGCGAGCAATAAAATCGTCTCGGCAGGATGCCGATGCCGCGGTTCATTTTAACAACGCCCAATGAATTTGTTTTCATCGAGGTAGTGATACTCAGTATTAAAGTATGACTTTGGTGTGAGCAAAAAAAAAAAATTATTTCCGACGGCTCCGCTGTTTGGCCCTCTAAATGAAACTCGATAACAGTCTTGCGAAATAGTGAAGGTAAAGCCGCATACTGTTCACATCATAGTACTATTATTATATTATTATGTGTCTCATGTCCAATAAACACTCCACGCCCTAGGCCACGCCCCTTTGATGCATTTCCCCCTAATTATAGAGCAGGCCTCTGTGATTAGGCTCAATCAGGGTGAAATGCGTCAGAGACGTGGCCTATAGCAGCCACTGTGTATTGTAAACCAGCTACATTAAATAAAAAGCAGAGTATTTTTTTGTCCCCAAAACGGGGGGGGGGGCTAAAATGAAAATTACTGGATACTGGATATCCACACGCTGTATAAGTTGTGTATGCGCCCACCTTGAAGTAAGGTGATTGGTAGTCAATGGGTGTGTGCTGTGTGCCAGAGATTCTGTAAGTACCTTAGGATGTCCTGGTAGGGATTCAGTAAGTACCATTGGAAGTCCTTTAAGGGATTCTGTAAGTACAATAGGAAGTTCAGGCAGGAATTCTGTGAGTAGCATTGGATGTCCTGGCAGGAATTCTGTGAGTACCACTGCAAGTCCTAGCAGGGAATCTGCAAGTACAATTGGAAGTCCTGGCAGGGATTATGTGAGTACAATTGGAAGTCCTGGCAGGGGATTATGTGAGTACAATTGGAAGTCCTGGCAGGGATTATGTGAGTAGCATTGGAAGTCCTGGCAGGGATTATGTGAGTAGCATTGGAAGTCCTGGCAGGGATTATGTGAGTAGCATTGGAAGTCCTGGCAGGGATTCTGTGAGTAGCATTGGAAGTCTAGGCAGGGATTCTGCAAGTAACATTGGTAGTCCTGGCAGGGATTCTGTGAGTACCATTGGAAGTCCTGGCAGGGATTCTGCGAGTACCATTGGAAGTCCTGGCAGGGATTCTGCAAGTAACATTGGTAGTCCTGGCAGGGATTCTGTGAGTACCATTGGAAGTCCTGGCAGGGATTCTGCGAGTACCATTGGAAGTCCTGGCATGGATTCTGCGAGTACCATTGGAAGTCCTGGCAGGGATTCTGCGAGTACCATTGGAAGTCCTGGCAGGGATTCTGCGAGTACCATTGGAAGTCCTGGCAGGGATTCAGTGCAGTAGCATTGGAAGTCTAGGCAGGGATTCTGCAAGTAACATTGGAAGTCCTGGCAGGGATTCTGCAAGTACCATTGGAAGTCCTGGCAGGTTCTGTAAGTAGTATTGGAAGTCCTGGCAAAGTTTCTGTAAGTAGTATTGGAAGTCCTGGTAGGGATTCTGCGAGTACCATTGGAAGTCTAAGCAGGGATTCTGTGAGTACCATTGGAAGTCCTGGAAGGGAGTCTGTGAGTACCCTGGTAGGGGTTTTACGAGTGTTGAATCCAAAGAGCAGATGTATACCGCTCAGGCAAACAATCCAGATCAATCCACAACAGGTGCAGGCTCTGGCTCGCCACCACACACGATGCAATAGGGAGAAGGGTCAGCCGCACACTGGAGGATAGATGAATATATTGTGTATTTATTGATCCATAGGACACACAGAAAATGATTAAGTACGAGATGGTGTGAAACGTGTTAACAGGTCCCGTATTCATGTCCTGGTGTTTTGTGTGTCCTATGGACCAATAAATACACACTATATTCATCTATCCTCCGGTGTTCAGCTGACCCTTTTTCCTAAGGTATTTTACAAGTACCATAGAGTACCATAGTCCTGGCAGGTATTTTACAAGTACCATAGGAAGTCCTGGCAGGGATTTTTTATGAGTACCATAGGAAGTCCTGTCAGGTATTTTACAAGTACCATAGGAAGTCCTGGCAGAGATTCTGTGAGCACCATTGGAGGTCCTAACAGAGATTCCGTGAATAGCATTTGAAAGTCCTGGCAGAGACCGGCAAGTTCCATTGGAGGCTCTTCAATACATTTGTTTTTGCATCCCAGGCTTCAGTGTCATTACCGCCGCTGTATCACGCTGCACCCAACTTATGGGGAAACTGCATATTGTCTCATATTATCTAAGAAAGCAAGCCTCCAAAGTCTAGTTACCTTAGGTGACTTAATGCTATAGGAATGTCATTGTAAATTGACTATGTGGTTAAGCCAGCCCATTAGTCTCCTTTCAGGAATATGATGTCTTCCTTAGAAGGTCATTTTGCTCCAAGGGGAATGGGTTGAACATTTTTTTTACATTTGAGTCCTATAGATATACTACAGCAAAAGCTTGGAATAACTGTCTCACCTCAGAGCTACATCATGCATGCGTCTGGTTTGGTTATTTGTGCCACGCTGTGAAAGTGGGCGGAATCCGTGGCGGAAACAGCATCTTTACTTAAGTATTGTTATTACATTTTCTAATATTATCTTTATCTGTCATTACTTAATTAAATGTTATACTGATGTAAAGCCCACCGGGTTAGCTAGGCTAGATGTTTTTTAGATAGAGCAGCAGCCTGGGATTAGTCAGCCTGAGAGCGAGGCAATGAGTCCACCTCTGGACAGGCTGGGGGGTTCTACAGGTCAGGGCTTCTGAATCCCTCCCACCCTTCCAGAAACTGGAGAAGTTTCTGGAAGAGGGGTGGATGAGGGGAGGAGGGCCAGATCTACATGTATGAGAGATCTTGGTCAATCCCCTGGCAGGAGGTTGGACATGGTGCCCAAGGACAACCCTCAAATATGACAGAGCCTGGGGAGCAAGGGGAATCGGGTTTAAGATGAACTGAGAGGAAGGCTGGAGCGTGGAGCCTGGGAGGGGGCCCCAGGGAGGGGAGCCTACCTACCGGCTGGTTGATGGACAAGAGGATGTCTACTGCTCAAAGTCCCCCAGGGAGGACATCCTGAGCAGCGGAAAAGGAGCCAGCCCAGAGAAAGGCCTTAAAGCAGCTACAAACCCCCTGAGCTGATAGGACAGGACCATGTAAGCACTCATAGCCCCCCTGGGACAGGGGAGAGGGCGGGTGCAATACCCAACTAGTTCTCATTTGGAACTGCTTAATTGCAAGCTTCTGGGACCTCTTTCTCAGGGTTACCCTCAGTACAGCTGGGCAAAGAGAAAGAATCATCTGGGGTCTGAGGAGGAACACCAAGGAGACTTAGTGCTCCTTAACCTCTTCCCGTCTGCCCTATAGCAGTAATATTTCTACAGGGCGACACGGGTGGGCAAAATCACATATATATTACGTGATTTTGCATTTCCGGGTAGGGGGCATGCGTGAACGCCCTACCCACGCCACTATTCACGCCTCAGCTGTTAATCACTGGGTCCCGGCTGGTGATTACTCGTCGGCACCCGGTGATCAAGGAGCATTACCGACGGCGGGAGAGAACTGTAAGTAAAAAATACAGATCTCTCCCCTGTCAGCATAGCAGAACCATGCAAAGCAGTGTGCTTACAGTGAAGCACACACCCCCCCACCTCCAGAGTAAAACAGCACACAGTTAACCCTTTGATCACCCCACATGTTAACCCCTTCCTGCCCAGTACCATTAGTACAGTGTCGGTGCTTTTTATTAGCACTGATCACTGTATTGGTGTCACTGGGGATGTCAGTGACACCAAGTCAGTTCCTCACAGTGTCAGAATACCCGCCGCAGTCCTGCTATAAGTCGCGGATCGCCACCATTACTAGTAAAAATAATAATTATAAAATCCCAGTATCTATATCGCCATTTGTAAACGCTATAACTTTCGTGTAAACCAATTAATTTACACGGATTGGGATTTTGTTTATTTTTTAGCAAAGACACGGAGCAGAATACATTTTGGCCTAAATTTATGATGAAATTAGATTTTTTATTTTTTTTTTTACTGGACAAGTTTAATAGCAAAATTCAAAAATATTGTTTTTTTTCTCAAAATTATCTGGCTTTTTTTTTGACAGCGCAAAAAATAAAAACCGCTCAGTCGATCAAATACCATGGAAAGAATGCTCCTTTTTTGGGGGAAAAAAAGGACATACATTTCATCCGGGTGCAGCGTTGCATGACCGCTTAAGTGTCCGTTAAAGTAACGCACCGCCGTAACGCAAAGAAATGGCCTGGTCAGGAAGGAAGGGTAAATCCTCAGGAGGGCGAGGGGTTAAAGAGACAGTGTTGTTTTTCTTGATTCATGTTTTGTACAGTTTTTGTTGCTAAGAAGTTTGTCCTCAAGTTTTGCAGTTCCTTGGGCATCCCATATACCCCTAGACCCCATCCAAGTTGTTAACCCCTTAATAAAAACAATTATAAACCAGCTCAAGGACTGTACTACTGACTCTGGATGTGCAAGTGTGGAAGATGCCTGTTGTCTGACGGCGCAGAGCGTAGGAGGTCCCAAAACATATTCAGTCAAGAGCAGGGGCAGACTGACAACTCATGGGGCCCCCGGCAATAGGGGATCATTAGGCCAATGTGTCCTTGCCCAAATTCAAAAATCCTATGAAAAAGGTACCAGGGGCATCTCATGGGGCCCCCTACTGACCCCGGGTCCTCGGGCAGTGCCAGATTTTCCAAATGGTCAGTCCGCCCCTGGTCAAGAGGGTAGTGCTAAACTGTAACGGCAATGCTGGGTGCAATAACTAAAAGCAAGTCATATGCACGCACACAATCAACATGTGGTCACACAGAATTTTTAATCAGCATTTACACCATTACATGTTCTACGCATGTGAAAGACCCTCTACCAAATGAACACCTGCCCTGGCACATCATAGCATTCACCCGTCACTCCAAGAAATAACAGGATCCAACTGCAATTTTCTTTCACTGTCAAAACCTCCACTTTTATTATCACACGACACACAGGAGGATATATCTTATAGTCATCACAATCTGTATAATAACACACACCAGTAAGAATGTGAGCATTACAGCATGAAATAGACACATCACTTGACAGTGTCACAGCATAGAATTAATACATTACCAAAGCTATGTAAAGGTGGGAAGGAATAGATCCCATAGGAATCATACTGCACAGGGGGTCACGGTGAAGCCGTAAAAGTGACCAATCGATGAGCCCATATAACCTTGGCAAAAGTCTTAGCGTCAGAGCGTCCTCTGGCAACTATGGGACTCCCAATCGATCCCGGCTTTTAAAACCATTTTCCTGGCAGCTTTCCCGAAGTGGGTGGGCGCCACACCCACTATAGGAAGAGGTAGCAGAAAGGTTCAGTGAGGATAACAGTCACGCCATATCGAGTCCACATTGTTCTCTAGAAAGTCACACTTTTGCTTCAAATCAGCTTCTCATCCACCCTAAACTTCTTCTCATCTACCTTAAACTGAAAGATTTCTAACTTCTCAAGCAAGTAGACATCTTTAAAAAGGTTCGTATCTTCTAATGTGACATTACAAGATGTCATAAACATGTTCAATCCCATAAACAAGTTCCTATCTTGTTTTAAGTAGAATATCTTGTGACTCATCGTCAGTCGTTTCTCATGCTCCTGGTATTTGGGCAACAATGCTTTATTATAAAAATTACCCAAGAAACAAAGGATCCAAGGCCAACACATTTCATAGGCATTACATACACTTATAAGTATTTCTGTGATCTCCTTTTGCACATCTCAAATAAACCCCAAAAAACTGTCATGTGGCAGCGATAAAATACTAACCTAAATCCCCTCCCTCCAGTAATCAGACTGCAACATTGTAACTGTCCTTTGGCAACTAAAGGGCTCCTAATCAATCCTGGCTTTTAAACCATTTTCCTGGCCGCTTTCCCGAAGTGGGTGGGCGCCACACCCACTATAGTAGGGGGTAGCAGAAAGGTTCTGTGAGGATAACAGAGTCACGCCCAGCCACCATATTGAGTCCACATTGTTCTCTAGAAAGTCACACATTTGCCTCAGATCATCTTCTTATCTACCCTAAACGTCTTCTCATCTACCCTAAACCAGGGGCGGACTGACCATTCGAGCACTCGGGCACTGCCCGAGGGCCCGGGGTCAGTAGGGGCCCCACGAGATGCCCCTGGTACCTTTCATTGTTTTTTTTCATAGGCTTTTTTGGGTGTGGGCAAGGACACGGGGGTCCCCCATGTTCCTCTATTGCCCGGGGGCCCCATGAGTTGTCTGTCCGCCCCTGCCCTAAACTGAAAAATTTCTAACTTCTTAAGCAAGTAGACATCTTTAAATAGGTTCTTATCTTCTAATGTGACATTACAAGATTCCATAAACACGTTCAATCCCATAAACAAGTTCCTATCTTGTTCTAAGTAGAATATCTTGTGACTCATCATCAGTCGTTTCTCATGCTCCTGGTATTTGGGTAACAATGCTTTATTGTAAAAATTACCCAAGAAACAAAGGGTCCAAGGCCAACACATTTCATAGGCATTACATACACTTATAAGTATTTGTGTTATCTCCTTTTGCACATCTCAAATAAACCCCAAAAAAACTGTCATGTGACCGCGATAAAATACTAACCCACATCCCCTCCCCCCAGTAATCAGGCTGCAACATTGTAACTTTCCTGTGGCAACTAAGGGGCTCCCAATCTATCCCAGCTTTTAAACCATTTTCCTGGCCGCTTTCCAGAAGTGGGTGGGCACCACACCCCACTATAGGAGGAGGTAGCAGAAAGGTTCCATGAGGATAACAGTCACGCCATATCGAGTCCACATTGTTATCTAGAAAGTCACACTTTTGCTTCAGATCAGCTTCCTATCTACCCTAAACTTCTTCTCATCCACCCTAAACTGAAAGATTTCTAACTTCTCAAGCATGTAGACTTCTTTAAACAGATTTGTATCTTCTAATGTGACATTACAAGATGTCATAAACACGTTCAATCCCATAAACAAGTTCCTATCTTGCTCTAAACAGAATATCTTGTGACTCTATTCCTTTGGCTTAGAGAAATGACATCAGTCACCTCTCATGCTCCTGGTATTTGGGAAACAATGCTTTATTGTAAAAATTACCCAAGAAACAAAGGGTCCAAGGCCAACACATTTCATAGGCATTACATACACTTATAAGTATTAATATGATCTCCTTTTGCACATCTCAAAAAAACCAAAAAAAAACTGTCATGTGACCGCAATAAAATACTAAGCCACGTCCCATCCCCCCAGTAATCAGACTGCAAGATTGTAACTTTTTCAGCATCAGGGGCTGATCTGTGTCAGCCATTTGTGACCGCATGATTGTGTCACCTCCGAGCTAGCAACTACAAGTCCCATGAGGCATTGCAAGATTGACAGTTACAAGCGCGACTCCCAAAGGCAGAGGCATGATGGGACTTGTAGTTTCGCAACAGCTGGAGGGCCGCCAGTCTGACACCCCTTGTCTAGGAGGTAGCTGTTGACTCTGAACGAGGCCTGAACAAAGATGGCGCCGTCCTTCTACAGAGAAAAGCAGATGAAGCCATTGTCAGAGGGGAGTCCTGTGATCTCTGTGAGAGGTAACAAATCCCCTGAAGTGTTAAACTGACACATTACTGAGCACGCTACATTTAACAAGGAAAAAAAATATGTCTGACGCTAGATCCGCCTTAAGTTAAATTCTCTGAACGCAGGCAATACGGGGATTCGGCGGAATAAAACTGCCAGCAGCCAAGGCAATTAAATTAAATTAAAACAAAAAAAAAATTGTTGCATGGAGGTATGTCTGATATAAAATGAAAGCATTTGATGGCCTCTTTTAATGTTCTCATTGCACTTTCAGTTACTGCAACCTCCAAGCGACCCTGGAGGTGCATTGAAAAAATATATATATATATATTATTTTTTTTTTTGTGGAATTGTTTTGGCAGAGATTACTTTTAATTGGCTGTAGAAAAACTGTAAAAAAAAAACAAAAAAAAACAAAACAACACTCATTAACACTTGGCCGGCGACATTGACACCACACACAGAAAAGACATTAATGGAAAAATTGAAATGAGAAAGAGAGAAATCAGATATTAGACACATCGCCTCTCGGGACGTTCGATGTGATAAAGTCACCGGCCTGGAACTTTGTTTATTATATTTCTGCCGTAAAAAAGTAAATAAATAAAAATGGCTTTTGTCGGCAGCTCGCGGCCGGGAGGTGCCGGGTGAAGGTTCGATAAATAAATGGAGCGGCGCTGAAAAAGAGGGTCTGGCGTTAATGAGGGGGCTGCAAGCCCCTCCTTCATAGAACACTTAACCATTTCCTGCCCTGATGTCCTGGACTTGAAGTGGAGATATCGGGATCAGGGCCTTTTTGTTCCAGTGGGAATGCAGGGGGACTTACCTTCAGCGCTGAATGTATGTAATGGCAAGGAAGCAAGAGGGTCTATTGATGCTGCTGCTGGGACAGGACCTATTTTTGTAGAGGAGGTCTATTGTTGTTGCTGGGGAATATGTGTTTGTTGGTGGTGGGTCGTATGTTGATGGGGGTCAATCATTGCTGGGAGGGATCTACTGTTGAAGGAGGGGTCTACTGTTGCTGGCTTCTAGAGGTTCTATTGATTCTGGCTGCTGGGGGCTCTAGGCTGCTGGATGAGATCTATTTTTGCAGGGGAGGTCTATTGTTGCTGCTGTGGGATATATGTTTGCTGGTGGTGGGTCATATGTTGATGGGGGTCAATCATTGCTGGGAGGGATCTACTGTTGAAGAAGGGGTCTACTGTTGCTGGCTTCTAGAGGCTCTATTGATGCTTGCTGCTGTGGGCTCTAGGCTGCTAGACAGGATCTATTTTTTTTCAGGGGAGGTCTATTGTTGCTGCTGTGGGATCTATGTTTGCTGGTGGTGGGTCTTATGTTGATGGGGGTCAATTATTGCTGAGAGGGATCTACTGTTGAAGGAGGGGTCTATTGTTGCTGGCTGCTAGAGGTTCTATTGATGCTGGCTGCTGGGGGCTCTAGGCTGCTGGATGGGGTCTATTTTTGCAGGGGAGGTCTGTTGTTGCTGCTAGGGGAATCTATGTTTGCTAGTGGTGGGTCTTATGTTGAAGGGGGTCAAACATTGCTGGGAGGCATCTACTGTTGAAGGAGGGGTCTATGGTTGCTGGCTGCTAGAGGTTCTAGTAATGCTGGGGGGGGCTCTGGGCTGCTGGACGGGATCTATTTTTGCAAGGGAGGTCTATTGTTGCTGCTAGGGGAATCTATGTTTGCTGGTGGTGGGTCTTATGTTGAAGGGGGTCAATCATTGCTGGGAGGGATCTACTGTTGAAGGAGGGGTCTACTGTTGCTGGCTGCTAGAGGTTCTATTGATGATGCTGGCTGCTGGGGGCTCTAGGCTGCTGAATGGGGCCTATTTTTGCAGGGGAGGTCTATTGTTGCTGCTAGGGGAATCTATGTTTGCTGGTGGTGGGTCTTATGTTGAAGGGGGTCAGTCATTGCTGGGAGGGATCTACTGCTGAAGGAGGGGTCTGCTGTTGCTGGCTGCTAGGGGTTCTATTGATGCTGGCTGTTGGGAGCCTATTGTTGCTAGAGCTGATCTATTGTTGATGGGGAGGTCTACTGGTGAGAATCTATGTTCACGGGGGGGGGGTTATAGTTGCTGGGGGGGAGGTTCTATTGTCACTGAGGGGGGAATTGTTTTTGGAGAGGTGTATTATAGCTGGCTACTGGGAGATCTATTATGGCTGGAGTGAATTTATATTGAAGGGGGGGGGGCTATTGTTGCTGGAGGGGATCTATTTTACTGCCTGTCTAGTTATCATTAAGAAATTCCATACAAATAACTTATCACCACAAAATGATACTTGGCTCTGTCTTCACTGTAAGGGGTGGTACTGGGAGGTGGGCAGGTCAAACCATGTTTGACACACCCCTCTTTCCCTCTGTGATACAAGTCTTGTGATGAGAGGTGTGGCTGCTACTCAGCTCTGCCAGCACAGACCTCCAGAGTTGGTTGTGGCCAGCTCAGTGGATTGCTGTAGGAAAGTCCTGGATTCTTTCTTGGATACACAGAATATAACTGGATATAATATTTATAGGGAAAGGTGATCCAGGGAATATCCGATTGCCTCTCGGGGGATCAGGAAGGAATGTTTTCCCCAGCAGGAGCAGATTGGATCGTGATTTGCTGTGCTTTTTTTGCCTTCTCTCTGGATCAACTGTGGGTGTAGGATTATAACTTTTTTTTTCTTTTTTTTAATGGTTGAACTGGATGGACTTTTGTTTTTTTCAGCCAGACTAACTATGTACTGTAGTGTGAGGCTTGTAAGCAGTATTTTCCCTAAAAGAAATGAGTATTTTTTTTTTTTTTGTTTAATATTTATTCCTTTGTTAACTACAAGAAAGAAAACATATACTAAATGGTAAAAAAAGACAAATAGCTACACAACACTGCAGTGGAGGCATCTGGGGACAGGGGGAGTCACTTCTTCTTCCTGGTCCTAAATTTCTGCTCCAGATTGGTGGGGGGATCTATTCCTGTGCATGGTCTCTGTTATTCTTCAAGTTTCACTATAGTTGACCTAATGAAATCAATATTGCGACCTATACTCTCCAGCCACTTTATAGGGTCCACCTGTTCAATGGCTTGGTAACACAAATTGCTAATCAGCCAATCACATGGCAGCAACTCAATGCATTTAGGCATCTAAATGTGGTGAAGAGGACTCGCTGAAGTTCAAACTGAGCATCAAAATGGGGGAGAAAGGGAATTTAAGTGACATGGTTATTGGTGCCAGACAGGGTGATCTGAGTAGTTCAAAAACTGCTGATCTACTGGATATTCACGCATGACCATCTCTAGGGTTTACAGAGAATGGTCCGAAAAAGAGAAAATATCCAGTGAGTGGCAGTTGGTTGAAAATGCCTTGTTGGTGTCAGAGGTCAGAGGAGAATGGGCAGACCAGGGGCGGACTGACCATTTGGAAACTCAGGCACTGCCCGAGGGCCCGGGGTCAGTAGGGGGCCCCATGAGATGCCCCTGGTACCTTTTTCATAAGCTTTTTTAAGTTTGGGCAAGGATACAGGGGCCTCATGATCCCCTATTGCCCGGGGCCCCATGAGTTGTCAGTCCGCCCCTGGGGCAGACTGGTTGCTAAGACATTCAGATGGTGGGGTCAGAATTTGGTGTGAACAACATGAAAGCATGGATCCATCCTGCTTTGTGTCAACTGTACAGGTTGGTGGTGTCATGGTGTGGTGGATCCATCCTGCGTTGTGTCAACTGTTCAGGTTGGTGGTGTCATGGTGTGGTGGATCCATCCTGCCTTGTATCAATGGTTCAGGCTGGTGGTGGTGGTGGTGGTTTCATGGTGTGGTGGATCCATCCTGCCTTGTATCAATGGTTCAGACTGGCGGTGGGTGGTTTCATGGTGTGGTGGATCCATCCTGCCTTGTATCAATGTGTTCAGGCTGGTGGTGGTGGTGTCATGGTGTGGTGGATCCATCCTGCTTTGTATCAAGTGTTCAGGCTGGTGGTGGTGGTGGTGTCATGGTGTGGTGGATCCATCCTGCTTTGTATCAATGGTTCAGGCTGGTGGTGGTGGTGGTGGTTTCATGGTGTGGTGGATCCATCCTGCTTTGTATCAATGGTTCAGGCTGGTGGTGGTGTGGTTTCATGGTGTGGTGGATCCATCCTGCCTTGTATCAAGTGTTCAGGCTGGTGATGGTGGTGTCATGGTGTGGTGGATCCATCCTGCTTTGTATCAATGGTTCAGGCTGGTGGTGGTGGTTTGTCATGGTGTGGTGGATCCATCCTGCCTTGTATCAATGGTTCAGACTGGTAGTGGTGGTTTCATGGTGTGGTGGATCCATCCTGCCTTGTATCAAGTGTTCAGGCTGGTGGTGGTGGTGTCATGGTGTGGTGGATCCATCCTGCCTTGTATCAATGGTTCAGGCTGGTGGTGGTAGTTTCATGGTATGTCGGAGATTTTCTTGGCACCAGCAAGGTGGACCAAAAAAATGGCTGGTGAGTGTAGATCAGTGTTTCTCAACTTTCTTTTCAGTCAAGGCACCCTTTACAATTATGGAGAGTCTTGAGGCAACCCGATCTAAAATGTGAAAAACTTTTCTAGTTTTATATAATGCAGCAACATCCACACGTGGTAGACACCCAACATTAGAGGTGGTTTATTCTTCCAAAGCAAAATACACTTTTGCACCCTGGTACTGACTTGTATTCCAGTGTTTCTCTTCTACCTCAGTTTTTCTCCATCACTGAGCTGATGTGACCGCCAGCACTCATGGAGAGGGGCGGGGGAGGGTCAATCAAGGATGCTGTGAGGGCAGCTGACATCCTCCTTATCAACTGATGATGTCATTGGTTGTCAGGACGCCGGAGGTTAGAAGGTCGTAATGTTGCACAATGAAAATCTGTTGCTTTGTTTAACTAAAAGGCAGGCTTGTTCCTCCCGCTGGCTTGTATACAAGTTTTGGGCAGTTTTTAGACATTTTGCCAAGGCACCCCTGAAGAAACCTCAAGGCACCCTGGTTTAGAAAGGCTGTTGTAGATGATCCATTATGCTGGAAATGGCAGTGGGCAGAGCATACAAGTCAACTAAGAAGTACCCTCCTTGAGTGTGACATCGGTTGTCATGCATACCTTGTAAGGAGGGTTCTTCTCCTACAAGTCAACTAAGAAGTACCCTCCTTGAGTGTGACATCGGTTGTGCGTGGATACCTTGTAAGGAGGGTTCTTCTCATACAAGTCAACTAAGAAGTACCCTCCTTGAGTGTGACATCGGTTGTGCGTGGATACCTTGTAAGGAGGGTTCTTCTCCTACAAGTCAACTAAGAAGTACCCTCCTTGAATGTGACATCGGTTGTGCATGGATTCCTTGCAAGGAGGGTTCTTCTCATACAAGTCAACTAAGAATTACCCTCCTTGAGTGTGACATTGGTTGTGCATGGATACCTTGTAAGGAGGGTTCTTCTCATACAAGTCAACTAAGAAGTACCCTCCTTGAGTGTGACATTGGTTGTGCGTGGATACCTTGTAAGGAGGGTTCTTCTCCTACAAGTCAACTAAGAAGTACCCTCCTTGAGTGTGACATCGGTTGTGTATGGATACCTTGTAAGGAGGGTTCTTCTCATACAAGTCAACTAAGAAGTACCCTCCTTGAGTGTGACATTGGTTGTGCATGGATTCCTTGTAAGGAGGGTTCTTCTCCTACAAGTCAACTAAGAAGTACCCTCCTTGAGTGTGACATCGGTTGTGTATGGATACCTTGTAAGGAGGGTTCTTCTCATACAAGTCAACTAAGAAGTACCCTCCTTGAGTGTGACATCGCTTGTGCATAGATACCTTGTAAGGAGGGTTCTTCTCATACAAGTCAACTAAGAAGTACCCTCCTTGAGTGTGACATCGGTTGTGCGTGGATACCTTGTAAGGAGGGTTCTTCTCATACAAGTCAACTAAGAAGTACCCTCCTTGAGTGTGACATCGGTTGTGCATGGATATCTGGTAAGGAGGGTTCTTCTCCCCAAGGTTTTCCAGGTTTCGCATGTTGGCTTCTTTTTCGAGCAGAGCTGCCATTGTACTCTTCAGAGCAGCCACCATTTCAGACCTCTGCTTGGCCTTCATGATCTGACCCATCTCATATCTGTCCATTGTAGGGGAGGATGACCGGGCTCTGCGATCGGAGCTCAGTCCAGACAAGAATGAGAGCAATCTGATGTTAGAGTGGAGAGGAAGAAATGGGTATTTTAAGGTATTTCCTAGCAAAAGTTGCAACTTATAACATGTAGATGTTCAGAACTAAAAAGAAATTCATCGGGCTTTAATCCAAACTGGAGGTACTACCAAAGGTGCCTCCAGCTGGGGGCCATTGCCAATTTGTCATGTTATTTCATTCCTACAGGTTGAGCTTAACTGGCAACTTTGTAAATGATTAAACGGTCCAAAAGGGCCCCCTTATCAGCTCTCCGGGGTCAAGGGTTACCCAATGTACCCGCCACCTCCCAAAATGTTCAAGTACGAGATACCTCGTTGACTCCTTTACTGGGGTGGAAAGGTCGAGTCTTACTTTGAGTCATGATATAGCTTAACGGCTATAATATTCAGGGAGGAAAATAAAAAGCGAGGCTTTTTTCGGTCTGAAATTTCAAGATGTCATTTGCAAGGCTCGGTATTCTCTGTGAAAAGTAACCAGGGAAAAAGTATAAAAGAGAGGAAATGAAAGAATCTAGGTTATTGCAAATCCTCGGCAAAGAGCTTTCATGTGTCACTCCAACTTAAAGAATTTTTGTCAACTGAAACAGGTTTTTTCTGCGAGAGAGGCGGAAGATGAGAACGCTTCCAGGGCAGAGATAAATGCCATCCTAATAAAATGTGCAGATTATGTTAAAGTGCTTCTACTCAGACTCTGAAAGAAAGAGGAGACATGATGGATTGGGTCTGATTTGTAAAAAAGGTGAAGCGGTTGGCCATGGATGAACGTCCTAATAGGAAAGCCTATCAACTGCCACTGAATGCTGTCATGGTCACAGAAGCCAATTGGGTGTCTTTATAAAAATTTGGACAATTTATAAACTGAAAATTTAACTTTTTTGTTTAAAGAGCTCTTAGGGCTCATTTACGCTTTGACTTTAACACACATTAAAGTGCCTACCGCTGCAACATGATTTATTTTTTTTTGCTTTTGATGCTTCGGTGGTGCTTTTCTAAAGCTTTAATGAAGCTTGTTAATTGCCTTGTGTGTGTTGATTTTTGATTTGTTGTAAAGGGGCCCAGGAGAGACCCATCTCAGTAGTATCCCCACTCAGCAGATCCCCAACTCATTAGTGCCTCTGTTCAGTAGATCCGAAGCTCATTGGTACCCTCGCTCAGCAGATCCCCAGTTTATTAGTACCTTCATTCAATCCCATGCTCAGTAGTAACCCCCTGCTCACTAATGCCCCACTCAGTAGTACCCCCAGCTTTGCTGATCCCCCACTCAGTAGTAACTCCCAGCTCTGCTGATGTCCTGCTCAGTGGTAACCCCCAGCTCTTCTTATTCTCTGCTCAGTAGTTGCTGCAGTTCTGCTGATCCCCCACTCAATAGTAACCCCCAGCTCTGCTGATCCCCCCGCTCAGTAGTACCCCCAGCTCTGCTAATGTCCCGTTCAGTAGTAACCCCCAACTCTTCTTATCCTCTGCTCAGTAGTCGCCCCAGCTCTGCTGATATCCCGCTCAATAGTAACCCCCAGCTCTGCTGATACCCCGCTCAATAGTAACCCCCAGCTCTGCTGATACCCCGCTCAATAGTAACCCCCAGCTCTGCTGATGTCCCACTCAGAAGTAACCCCCAGCTCTTCTTATCCTCTGCTCAGTAGTTGCCCCAGCGCTGCTGATCCCCCGCTCAATAGTAACCCCTAGCTCTGCTGATCCCCCACTCAGTACTAACCCCCAGCTCTACTGATCTTCTACTCAGTAGTACCCCAGCTCTGCTGATATCCCGCTCAGTAGTAACCCCCAGCTCTTTCTATCCTCTGCTTAGTAGTCGCCCCAGTTTTGCTGATCCCCCGCTCAATAGTAACCCCCAGCTTTGCTGATCCCCCGCTCAATAGTAACCCCCAGCTCTGCTGATCCCCCGCTCAATAGTAACCCCCAGCTTTGCTGATCCCCCCCTCAATAGTAACCCCCAGCTCTGCCGATCCCCTACTCAGTAGTAACCCCCAGCTCTACTGATCTTCTACTTGGTAGTACCCCCAGCTCTGCTGATGTCCCGCTCAGTAGTAACCCCCAGCTCTTCTTATCCTCTGCTCAGTAGTCGCCCCAGCTCTGCTGATCCCCCGCTCAGTATAACCCCCATCCCTGCATCCCTGCTGAATATAACCGCTCTGCAATAGTATTAACCCCCAGCTCTGCTCTGGTTCTTTTTTTTCAGTATTAACATGGCGATCTCTGGTTATGTTACTTATTGCATTTAGGTAGTTTCCGTTTTGAATTTGCTTCTCCTTTCACCCCCCATGATCTGCAGAATGATGTTTCCTTTTGTTTTGGTTACATTTGTTATGTTACTAATTGCATTTAGTAGTTTCGTTTTGAAATTCGTTTATTTTAGTTTTCTTTTGTTTATTCATTTTCTAACAAATTCCAAATTTTCAGAACGATTTCAATTCGAATCGGCCAAAAATGTTTCCATCTATTCGAAATCTGTGTGCAGAATAGCTGGTTAAGGAGCTGGTCCTGGAAAAAAAAACAGCATGGGGTTCCCACCCCCCATCTATACCAGGCCCTTCGGGTCTGTTATAGATTTTAAGGGGAAACCCACACCTAAATTAATTTTAAAAAAAAGTGTGGGGTCCCCCCATAACCAGTACCAAACCCCTATCCGAGCATGCAGCCCGGCAGGTCAAGAAAGGGAGTGATTTTGGCCATGCCCCCAAAGCACCTTGTCCCCTTGTTGATGGGGAAAAGGGCTTCTTCCCTACAAACTTCCCTACAAACTTGGACTGTGGTTGTGGAAGTCTGCAAGTGGGGAGCAGGGGCAGACTGACAACTCATGGGGCCCCTGGGCAATAGGGGATCATGGGGCCCCTGCGTCCTCTCCCACACTCAAATCACACCCAAAAAAGCCTATGAAAGGTACCAGGTACATCTCATGGGGCCTCCTACTGACCCCGGGCCCTCGGGCAGTGCCCGCGTTCCCCAATGGTCAGTCCGCCCCTGGTGGGGAGTTTAGTGGAACTGGAAGCTCCCATTAACAAGGGAGCCATCACATACCAGCCCCTCTCACGTGAATAAGTAGGGGTACATAGTACCCCTCAAAGCCAGGAAATGTGAAGTAGCGCCACCGATGCACAAGAGTGAGAGCAGCGTCCTTACACTTATCCAGGGGTGTAGATTGACAAGGAGGGATGGACGCCACAGAGTGTCAATGATGGCCTGAGCCCTACCGACGCGTTTCACCCCTCCCATTCCCCCGATCACCCCTTTGGTCACAGAGGCCTGGTCACTAGCGGGCGGTTACTGCAAATTTAGAGGTGGGAGTCAAATGGGAGGGGCCATCTTGCAGGTCGACATGTCAGGTTTGGGCTTTGGCCGGGGGTGATAGTGTCCCAAGGCTGGAGCTAATATGCTGATAAGTGAGTGGAGTCATTTCGAATAAATTGAATTAGATGCAATTTTATCTATATAGCCGTGGAGAAACTTTGCCAAAGCAGATGCTCTTTGGAGCAATTAGTTGTTTTTTTTTTCTTCTATTTTTGAAGGTCTTTTTTTTTGCACACTTATTGCTGGTGCAACACGCTGCGAAAAGAATTATACATGCCCATTTATTCCCTGCAAAAATATGTGCATTTTTAATTTTTTTCCAGAAAGGTGAGCTTAGCCTTTAATAGAACATACATGTTTTAAGTATAAAGTCGGTCCCTGGCTAACAAGGCAGCAGAGAGGCCTCTGATCCCCGCAGGCTCCCCCGCCGCACTTCCGATAACAAGCCGCGGCGAGTCATGTGTAGTACGCGGTAAGCAGGGGGAATAGGATGGGGAGGGTGGCTGCACATACGAGATTCAGCACATGTTTAATACACGGTTACGTAACAGGCGCTTGCTCCGGGAAGCAGCGGGGAGAAGCGGCGTCCTGCTGAGAGGACTCATCAGAGGTGATTTAATATCAATAATTGAAATAACCTTCAAGTCAATCTGGGCATATGTTGATTTTCTGCGGCTTGTGTCTATATTTTCATAGTAGATTTAGTAGAGAAAATCAACAAGACGCGGCATAAAGGGAGAGGCGGGAAACGAGCCGTATACAGTGTCAGTTGTGCGTCTAAGCCGGTTTACATTGAGGTTCGATCAATGCAGGAAGGGACTCTGGAGAGCGGTTCCTGGATGGTGTATCGGTACTGTGTGGACCCACAAAATTTGGCTCCCCCTAAGAACAAACCTACTTTTCATTGTAGACCCCTTTAACTGCTCCAACCGTCGTCGTCTGCACACTCAAAGCCAAACTTCAGCGATTAGACAAAATTGACCCTTGCAATGGGCCCCCCTTATTAGGTCTAGGGGGAGATGAATTGGCTGTATTGCTTACCTTACCCCTACTTCAGTTGGCTCCAGCACTCTCCTTCCAATGCTCCGGTCTGTGGGTGGCCACTTGATGCCATCATGTGCAATGCAGGTCTCAGGAGTGGGAGGCTGTAGTTCCGGGGTCCACAGAGTGGGACCCTTGCAATGGGCCCCCCTTATTAGGTCTAGGGGGAGATGAATTGGCTGTATTGTTTACCTTACCCCTACATCAGTTGGCTCCTGCACTCTCCTACTCTCCTTCCAATGCTCCGGTCTGTGTGCGGCCACTTGATGCCATTATGTGCAATGCAGGTCTCAGGAGTGGGAGGCTGTAGTTCCGGGGTGCACAGAGTGGGCCCCTTGCAATGGGCCCCCCTTATTAGGTCTAGGGGAGATGAATTGGCTGTATTGCTTACCTTACCCCTACTTCAGTTGGCTCCAGCACTCTCCTACTCTCCTTCCAATGCTCCGGTCTGTGGGCGGCCACTTGATGCCATTATGTGCAATGCAGGTCTCAGGAGTGGGAGACTGTAGTTCCGGGGTCCACAGAGTGGGACCCTTGCAATGGGCCCCCCTTATTAGGTCTAGGGGGAGATGAATTGGCTGTATTGCTTACCT